GCCACTGCACTCTCAAGCGGCGCACTCTCCAGTGCGCCACCGGGCCGGCCCATTTAGAGCAGTTTTAGATTCACAGCAAAACTGAGCAGAAAGTTCAGAGGGTTCCCATACATCCACCTACACATGCACATCCTCCCCAACTATAAACATCACCCACCAGAGTGGTACATTTGTTATAAACGATGAACCAACACTGACATATCATTGTCACCCAAAGTCTATAGTTTACATTAAGGTTCAGTCTTGGTGGTGTACATTCTATGGGTTTGGACAAACGTATAATGACATATATCCACCATTACAGCATCGTACAGAGTAATTTCACTGCCCTAAAAGTCATCTGTGCTCTGCCTGTTCATCCCTCCGTCCCCTCAACCCCTGGCAACTGTTGATCTTTTTACCATACCCATAGTTTTGCCTTTTTCAGAATATCATACTTTTGGAATCATATAGTATATAGCATTTTCAAATTGACTTTTTTCACTTAGTATGCATTTAAGTTTCCTCCGTGTCTCTTCATGGCTTGAAGAAATTATAGCTCATTTCTTTTTAGTGCTGAATAACATTCCCTTGTCTGGATATACCACAGTTTATTTATCCAGTCACCTTCTGAAGGCCATCTTGATTGCTTCCAGGTTTTGGCATTAGGAATAAAGCTGCTACGTACATCCATGTGCAGTTTTTTGTGTGGACATGAGTTTTCAACTCATTTGATGCCAAAGAGTATAATTGCTGGATCATATTGTAAGAATATGTTTCATTTTGTAAGAAACTGCCACACTGTCTTCCAATTGGCTGTACCATTTTGCATTCCCACCAGCAATGAGTGAGAGTTCCTGTTGCTCCACATCCTTGTCAGCATTTGGTGTTGTCAGTGTTTTGGGTTTTGGCCATTCTAGTAGGTGGGTAGTGGTATCGCATTGTTGTTTTAACTTTCAATTCCTGAATGACATATGATGTGGAACATCTTTTCATAGGCTTTTTTGACGTTTTTATATTTTCCTTGGTGAGGTGTCTGTTCAGATCTTCTGTTAATTTTTCAGTTGGGTTGTCCCTTTTCTTATTGTTGCATTTTAAGAGTTCTTAGCATATCTTGGGTAACAGTCCTTTACTGAATGTCTTTGGCTAATATTTCTCCCCGTCTGCAGTTGTCCTCTCATTCTCTTGAAAGTGTGCATGTTTGTGAGTGGGTTGATTTGAGCTCTAAGACTGACAAGGTAAAAGAGGTTTGGAAAGGCTTGCTTGGCACTTGGACTC